CTAAGCTTAACCAGTAGTAATAGTTCCGTTACGTAGCTTAACTACTTCCGTTCCGTTCCTAGTTCCGTTCGGACAGGTTTGCTGGACATTTTGTGCGCCGCCTCCGAGTTCGATGCCGTGCCCGTGCGCAGCGGAGAAGAAGCCACGTTGTATGGCTTGGCACAGTCGTTGGGCATGAAAGTGGACAAGGAGAAATTGAACGATCCTCATACCAAAGCGCAGCTCTTGTTGAGTGCTCATTTCACTCGGACTCCGATCACTACGGATTTGTCTTCGGATCAAAAATTCATTTTGGACCACGCGGTGCGTCTTTTGCAGGGTTTGGTCGATGTGATCTCCTCGTGTGGATGGCTGACGCCGGCCTTGAGCGCCATGGAACTGAGCCAGATGATCGTTCAAGCCACGACCTCCACGAGTTCTCCATTGATGCAACTGCCGCATTTCTCCTTCCAAATGGTGGAGAAAGCCAAGCAACTGGACTGGCTTAAGCTTAGAAGAGAAGAGGTAGAAGGTAGGAAGAGGTAGCTATAGTACCTTACTTAAGCTAAGAACTACTGGACGCATGATAGCTCACGCTTCTTCAAGGAAGCGCTCCCCGCTGCCCTAAAGGCGACGGGGGAAGCTTCCTTGAAGAAGCGCTCGCACTAATGATTTGGTTCCGAAACTTTTTTTTGCAAACTGAACAAAGAAGCGATTTGTGAACTCCAACTAGTAACAGGTGCCACGCTAGTAGTAACAGGTGCCTTACTAGTAGTAACAAGAAGCAAGTAGGAACAAGTGCCACGCTAGTAGTAACAGGTGCCTTACTAGTAGTAACAAGAAGCAAGTAGGAACAAGTGCCACGCTAGTAGTAACAAGAAGCAAGTAGGAACAAGTGCCACGCTAGTAGTAACAGGTGCCTTACTAGTAACAAGAAGCAAGTAGGAACAAGTGCCACGCTAGTAGTAACAGGTGCCTTACTAGTAACAAGAAGCAAGTAGGAACAAGTGCCACGCTAGTAGTAACAGGTGCCTTACTAGTAACAAGAAGCAAGTAGGAACAAGTGCCACGCTAGTAGTAACAGGTGCCTTACTAGTAACAAGAAGCGATTTGTCAACTCCACCTACCAAACTCGTCTCAGGAAGTTCAAGGTGGAGGATATTTTCGATGCAAACGTGCCATGTTTTGTGACGGCTCCACACTTGCCGCCCGGTCCTCCATCCAGTCTCTCTATCTCTCGCTCTCTATCTCTCGCTCTCCTTCATGCCTTTCTGTCTCTTTGTGCCAGGTGATGAGCATGGAGGATGCTCAACGAGACAAGCTGTTGGATGGCTTGTCTCAGCCACTTGGGAAGCAAACACTTTGAGTGCTGGTTCCTAATGCATCAAGCTAATGCACTTGGTTTCTAAAAACAGCATGTCATGCTTGTAAACATGCTTGGGGGGTCTTATAAACTATGTTTCATTTGATTTGCTTTGTTTTGCTATTGTATCTATTTAAGATTACCATTACATTGTTTTGACTCTATATTGAGTTTTTTTTGTAAATCTATTTATTGTTTGCATATGCCTCATACTGCTTTTGGCGTAGCGCCAAGCTGTGAGGTCTCAGCTCACGGATGTGGCTCGGGCGTGCAATCGCTTCCCGGCCATTTCCTTGGAGTACAAGGCGAAAACGAAAGAAAGGAAAAGAAGGACGAAACGAAAGAACAAGTCGGACAAAGGTAGGACAAAGAGGACAAGAAAGGAGAAATGAAGCAACACAAGACTCGAGTTTGTATTTTCTCAGAATCTTCTGATGCCGCTCAAAGCTAGAAACTCAGCAAGCGAGGTGTAAAGAGAACTCCAAGTAGCGACGCTTTAGACCCCCTTCAGGGAATGCAAAAGAACACACAACAATTTTGTTTCAATATTTGTTAAAAGTCGAACACGACATATTAGATTAAAGACTTACTTATTTTCTGAGAGATCCTGACAGCTTTAGACCTTTGCAGAGCTTTCGGAGACTGGTGAATCACGAGAAGATTGCCCGGTCATTGTGCGAAAGTTAAGTTTCCCTAATACTCTCGAAACCAAATGAGTTTTAGGAAGCTTTCCCCGCCGCCTTTAGGGGGAGCTTCCTTGAAGAAGCGTGAGCGTCCAGTTGCTAGAAGCTAGCCTAGTAAGGAGCCTACTAACTAGTAGTTTTGCCGTTACTTAATCAAGTAGGCGCCTACTTGATTAAGGAAGGTCAGAGCGGGGCGTTGTTCGTTCTGTTTTCGGTTCCAGGTGAACTCTGATTCGCTCACAGCGGGTGGCAGCGCCAAGATCTCTGTGAAACTGACGAGAGAGGCCATGGAGGCGTGGAATTGAAGAGAAGAAAACAGACATTGTCGACATTTACATTAAAAAATAATCCCAAGATCTTACATTTCTTTGCATTCTTTTGGTGTGATGTTGAACGTCAAGTCTTCTCGACCGGTTCGGATCGAGGAAGAAGGCGCAGTTGGACCTGTGTATGCCATGTACTATCCCAAGGAGAGAAAACGACGACACAAGACACGGCTACGGCCGGTATAGCGCATATACAATGCTACGGCGTAGTTAGTGACCCTGGAGTTTTTCTCGATTGTGCCACGGATGGTTTTGGTTGAACATGCTTAAAAAGGTGGCCTTTCGCGATTTTCATCTTTGGTTGTCAATAACGTTCTGTTCTTCAAATACTGTATTTTACAAGACTCCAGGGCGCTTTTTCATCCTCCCCAATCAGGTTCTGTGTTCAATTTCTGGTTTCAGGTGGGATGCGTTTGTCGTTCCAGTTTTGTTGCTTTGTGTTGTTCTCGTGTTTAATTGAAACGCCACGTCTTGTGATTGGTGTTCCCGGTCAGGCTGCGTGTTCATGGTGTTGCTCTTACGCGGTGGGCACAAATAATTGATTTGAAGTGTGTTTTTTTGTATTATGTGTTTCTGCTTTTACACATTTTTCGTGCTTCTCACTCTGACATACATGCAGTGCGCGGCTCCCATATCAAGCAAACTGTTCTTTCTCAGCGGCGCACCGCCTTGCGACAGAGCTCTCCCACTGCCTGCCACAGATCTTTGGTTGCATTGTTGTGAAAGAGCCAGGATGTCACACACACAGCATCAGCCTGTCGATGTTGCGTGTTCTTTCTTGCTATGGATCGTTGAAGGCATGTGACATCATCTTCGAAGCACATCCAAACCAACGTCATTAGTCCCCCGCCAAACATATCAAACATCAACCCACATGCATACCTACTAATGTCGTCAAGGCCGGAAAAATGCAATTTCCCCGGGGGTCGCGAACAACTCCGTTGGCATGTACAACAAGACACTGGGTGCGCAGCAGTAAGCGAAGAGCATCAGGAGTCCGCCGAGTAGCTTTTGTCCAAGGTTATTTTTTCTTTTGGGAGACGTACTTTTTCGTGAGAAGAAATCGGACGTAAAGATCTAGGTACAAAGGTATGAACCCAAGAGCTGTAAAATATTGATGCCAGATATTATTTATCATTTCTATATTTAAAGGCTGGGCTAGAGCACCATCAACTAATTTTAAGTGTGAATAGATTTATGGCCCAGCCTATCAATAAATAAAACAAATGAATGATAACTAGTGATGGAACCTTTCTGACAACCCAATCGAAGGAAGCGGAGTTTCCTTGATTCCTTTTGCGTCCGGATGCATCGACTACCTAGCTTCCTGTCACCAAGACCAGCTAAACACAACCTAAGCTGCTCAAGTTCCTTGAGCTAGTATATACCTTGCTGCTGCTACTGCTACTGCTACTCCTACGACGGCGACTACTACTACAACCACAACTACTACAACAAGAACTACTACTAACTACTACTAACTACTACTACCTACTAACTACTACCACTACCTACTAACTACTACAACAACAACAACTACTACTACTACTACTAACTACTAGTACTTTCTAACCACCACCACTACCTACTAACTACAACTACAACTACAACTACCACTACTACTACTACTCCTACTACCTACTACCTACTACTTACTACCTACTACTTACTACCTACTACCTACTACTTACTACTTACGACTTACCACTTACCACTTACTACTTACAACTTACTACTACTTACTACTACTTACTACTACTTACTACTTACTACTACTTACTACTACGTACTACTACGTACTGCTACGTACTACTACTACTACGACTACTACTACTACTACTACTACTACTACTATACTACCACAACCAGTACCACTACCACGACCACCACATAGTGTGCCCCGCTCGAACTCGAACTCGAACTCCAACTGAATGAGAAGTGTACCCTGTACTTGATGTTTTTGTGTTTGAAGATGAAGTGAACGGTGTTTTGACTTCAGTCGTCGTGACTTGATTTTTTCGTGCTCAAGCTTTTCATCCTGGGGTCGTGCATGGAGCGACGGCTGGTCCCTCTCGCGGCTACTGCACTGGCTTGAGGCGGCGGATTCTGGTTGGCTTCACTGTGGGCAGTGGCTCGGCGCGAAGTGGGTCGAGCATTGTTTGTGAAGGGGCTGGATTTGGTGCAATCGGGATTGGATCAGGTTACCGTTTCATTGGATTGGGACTTTGAGAGATTTTTGCATCTAGCAAGCTTTCTTTTGTTGCTTTCCCATTGGAACGAATTCTCTGGCATCACTAGCCTCTTGCTGCGTATCCTTAGAGCTGGCTTGCACTTGCTTTGGGTGGCGGTTCACCGTTGTGAAGGTCGGCGAGAGGGACCAGTGGGAGTTGAAACCGTTGTTGTTGGAGGTCACGCATACCCAGAACAGGAAGAGCTCTTTACCTGGATAGGCATGGCCTTGGCTGCAGGCGGTCCCCCATTACCAGTGGGATCGTTTGTGTTGATTTCAAGGCCCCCTGACTGGGACGAAGTGCTTGTGTGTGGGTTTGGCGATAGCAATCGAGTTGCATTATGCCGTACAACCAGCACAGACGGCAGCGATTGGGTGTGGGTGTTGGTGCAACTTTTGGGCCTTCATTTGCGTTTGCCAGTAGTGGGGGCACATGGGTTGCGGACGGCTCCGGCCGGCATAGACAACAACGACGTGAACTGGATCTGCACCCCTCCGGCTGGTCTGAACCAATGGCAGCCCACTGCTGCGGAGTTGGCCAATTTGGCCACAGAGGCCAACCTGGTACTTGCTCAGGTGACGCCGGGCAGCCCGGGTTGGGTTCTCAACGCGCCTGGGGTGGGTGGCCCCAATGCAGGAGGTGCAACAAGCAGCGGCTGCGCCAATTGCCAGCCGGGCCCGGAGGAGGAGGAGGTTTGGCACAGGCGCCCCCCGTGGGTGCAGGGCTGGGACTTGCAAACGACAACCCGCCCTCATCAGGAGCGGACTTGCGGGCCTTAGAAGCAGCTGTCCAGAGTTTGCAAGCGATGGCATTGAGTCCAGGAAGACGTTCCGCTCATTCCCGTGGCAGCAGCAAGAAGAAGACCCGCAAGAACAAGCGGGAATCCCGGAAGAAGAAGAAAAAGAAGAAGGGAAAGAAGTCCTGGAGCAGCAGTTCGAGCGGCTCGAGTTCAAGCAGCCGTTCAAGGTCCAGGCGTTGAGATGGAAAGAGAGCGGCAAGGACCGATCCGTGCCGTATGCCAGCCTTACTCACATCGATGGCCTAAAGTTCAAGAAGAAGGGCGACTTGGTGGCATTCGCCACGAAGAATCCGGGGGCGCTGACAGCACACTTTTTGGCAGGTGTGTACCAGCGGCTGTCGAAAGGACAGTTGAGCCGCAGCGGTCAGCTCCGCGATGTGTCAGTGACAGCATGGGCTCACCAGTTTGCCGGCCTGAGCGAGCCGAGGGACATCAAGGAGGTGGTCACTTTAGCGGAAGTGCTAGATGCAGTCAATCGACGCGAGCTGGCGCAGGCACTCGACATCATCAGCCAGAGAATCTTGGCCACCCAGCAGGCCCGTCAGAAGGGTGGGTCCTGGGAAAAGTCGGAGCAGATCGAGTTGATCGACGCTCGCAAGACGTTGGCGAGCCACTCTATGTTGGCTCTGACCAATGCCTAGCGGGTGATTTGAGAAGAACATGGTATAGACTCGGCGGTTGCTGCAATGCTTCCATGGCTTTCAGTCAGTATTATGCCACGATGGCAAAGGCTGTGACTCTTACACTCAAGTCAGCTGGAAGGGTTTCTCCTTTTGCTCAGAGCGTGCAGCGCTGCCAGGGATGGTTGCACAAATTCAGGAGAAGAGCAGAATTCGATAGTAACAGCAGCTCTAGCACTGGGGCTAAGTTCACATCACCTAGTCATGTTTTTCCCATTCTCAGGCGGCTACAGTTCCTTTGGCCGATCATGTGGAGCGCTGTTTTCCAGAGATGGGCAAGCAGGTCCGTTTTCCAACAGCCTTGCTCTTGCCTGCTCGGAAGAGGCCCAGGAGAATCAAGCGTGGTTACACCTGGGTGGCCTCTACGTATCCCCAGCTAGTGGAGAGGAATGTCAAGGCAGGGCTTCAAAAGTTGAAACATGGAAATCAAGTAGCTCGACATGGGGGTAGGATGGTGCTTGCGGGTGCTTTTGCGGTGGTGAAGGACGCCCTTGAAGACCGTGTCATTACTGATCCCACTGTCAACCAACTTCTTGATCCCAGCAGACTACCCAGACCGAAGTTTGCGTACATACCATCACTTAGGTCCCTCACAGTTCCACGTGGGGGTGTGATTCGTGTGACAAAAAGAGATGCCAGACACTATTTCCATCGCTTGCAGATCGGGCGGCGATGGGGCAAGTGGCTATGCTCTCCTCCCATTCGACTGCCGGCCAGGCGGGGGGGGGAGAGCGAGTTCTATACCCATCAGCTTTAGCAACTCCTATGCGGGCTGGGCCCAGGCCCTTACGGATGTCATTGCGGTGGACGCCGAGCTCCCTCAAGACAAGAGGCTCCGCCCAGATTTTGTAGTGCCTGAGAGTTTGCCTATTTGGGGGTCAATTATAGATGATGTTTGGGCTTTGGAGCACACCGAAGAATCCCAACCGGCCCTAACAGGTCCTTCCTGGTTGCAGCGCGCTGAGGAGGCATGGGTCACACGGGGGGTTGAACCAAACACCAAAAAGTCTGTGAATAGCGCCCTCGGTGAAGAGGTACAAGGCTATTACGTTCATCCTTATGACCATTGGGTTGGCGTGGCGCTTGAGAAACGTAGGTATTTGTTTCAGGCAACCATGAGCATCTTGATGAGACCACGAGTTGTGGTAGGGGTGGTGGACCGCTTGATCGGCAAGCACAGCTTCGTGCAGTCCTGCCGGCCATGCGTGAGGTCCATCTTCGAGTTCACCTACCTCTGGATTGCAAGCGTGCGCAGCCGGAGGCGAGACCTGGTCGTGCTACCCCATGAGGTTTGGGTTGAACTATGTTTGGCAGCCATACTACTCCCCTATGCACAGTTTGACCTATCAAGTCCATGGAGCAACCGGTTGGAATGCACAGATGCCTCGATGACAGGCATTGGGCGCTCCTTTGGCTTTGCTCCTACACCTGTGGTGCAGGCACTAGCTAGAGTATTCTGAGCATCGAAAAGTTTACGCGAACCTTACTTTACCCTGGAGCATTGGGCTAACTAAAGAGCATGCTTGTCCCCTCAGACGTGTTCGCTTGCCAAGCGAGAAGATCACGTGGCATCATTTAGCGAGTCCTTGGCAGTGTGAGCATATCACGCTTGGCGAGGCGGATGCTGTGGCTTGGGCCGCTGAGGATCGTCTCAGGCGAGGCGTCGATGATGGGGCGAGGTTTGTACACCCTGTCGACTCAGCGGCGTGCGCAGGGTGCTTTACAAAAGGCAGGTCTAGCTCTAGACGATTGAATACAAGGTGTCGGCGGTTGGCCAGTGTTTCATTGGCTGAAGATGGAGGCTGACCAATTCTGTCTTCAACTCCAAACATTGTCGTTTGGGGCCGCCCTCAAAGAAGAGCTGAGCAAGTTCGGAGACCGCTTTGAGTCTGGGGCTTGTGAGTCTGTGAGTGTAAACCTGGTGTTCCTACCTGCAGCAGTTTGTATCTGAGATAGATGTACAAGCGCATCAATGCCCTGGTGTCAGCTCAGAATGACCATGAGGCCAGCTATATTCCTTATGTCCGTTCATTCACTCAGGCCAGCCAGGACTTTGAAGGTCTTAGAAAGGCTGCTGATGGCACGGTGAAATCAATGAAGCGAAAGCGCCTTCAGCCAAGCGACCCAAGGCAAAGGCCGCTAAGAAAACGGCCGGAAGGGCTGTGACGGTCTCAAGGCTTTTGATGTGCGCACGACGTGGGGAAATGTCACATGTGCGATGCTTTGGCTGCGAAAAAGAGAGTGGGTATGTGACTCATGTGTTTCTTGACCGCGCTTTCCAGACTTTAATTTTCACACAGCAGAGGACACCACTCATTTTGGTTGGAAGTACTTCAAGCTCAAAAATTCCAGGCTTGCCCACGCCTAATGCTCAGATCACCGTGGTACATCACTCTGTCTTCCTGTGTGTTCCGCTGCTTCCAGGCGCGAGAACAGCAACGTAGGCTGGTGCGAGTGTCCGACGTTTTTCGGACGCAAGTGGATCGCGTTCTGTTTTTGGAGGTGCCAGCGATTCTTCGTCAACACCTTGTCCAAAGATATGCAAAAAGGCTTCACCCTCAGATGACAACAGCCAAAAAACAAGCACGCGCTGCTACTCACCAAGGGCCCACTTTTCCCAGGCAAGTGGAGGACTTTGACATTCTTAGCAGAGGAGGTTGGGAGTGGGGACATTTGGTTGCGCTATTTACCCCAGGTTCAGTGTAGTGTACATGTAATGCTTTCTGGATGCTCTGGTGAAGTTCCGTGGAGCTGAGGGCCTTTCCGGGACCAAGTCCACGCAGATAGCAGCGGCCTTTGCAACCGATGGCGCGAAAGGGAACGCCGTCAAGCAGTTTGCGAAATCCAAGCAAGAAAAAGATTTGTTCCGGTGGATGCTTGACCGATTGGCTCAATGATTTTCAAACGGTTAGCGATTGTTTGGATGTATTTTTGGCGTCGGCTCATGCAATGTCTTTGCATTTTGCTGCCACCGGATGCAAGGATCAAGTTGCCGTTCAAGCCATACGTGGTGATGACCCTTCTTGTTTTTCACGACCTGGATGAAGTGACCCGTGAAGTGGACGTGTCATTTTTTCGCCTTCAATGATGATCCGCGAGATCTTCAAACAGGGACCTGAAGTCTGCAAGAGGTGCTTCTTCAACGATGGGCCAGAAAGTGTTTTTGAATGGTGGAAAAGAGAAAACAAGGCATTCACTGACAGCTTGGGAGGATTAGAGACTCTCAAATACACGTTGCGAGTGCCAAAATGGAAAGGGGAAACAGTGGAACACACCTTTCACCAGTGAAGGGAGCTGGATCATACGCAAAGGCGTGGTGGGATTGACTACTAGTGGCATGTCGCCACACCATTTTGGATGTGCTGTCCTGGGATTTGCGGGCCTGCGCAGAAGGAGTCTTTCCTGTCGCAGATCACACAGGCAGACTTTTTCCACCAGATTCACCAGAAGGTCAGAGAGCGCACCAGCCTATAGCAGAAGTTGGTGGAATCAGGTGGAAAGCCCACTTTGCATACTGGAAGGGTGACCAAGAGGCTGCAGCTGCTACTCACGATTCTCGCCCTTTGCTTCAATTCTTTTTGGGTCAGTGTTTTTTAAAATATATATCTATATGTGTGTGTGTCCCCCTGCGTTTCACTCCAGCGGTTGGAGTTCAGCTTGCCAAGGAAGCCACGACGTCATACAGGCATACGTTCATTTGCGACTGGTGTTTTGCCAGCAAAACTCCGCAGCGGTGAACTACGCAAACTTTAAGCCTGATGCGTTTTGGAGAACGACCTTGTGCAAAACAACAGACCCCGGATGTAGTCCATGGCAGAAAACTGTTGGCTTCAGCAAGGACAGGCAGCTTTGGAATTGCAGTTCACTTGTCAATTTATGGACTTTGCTTTGTTGATGCGAAGCCCCTGGATGTCTTGCGATCCTGCCTATGTGCGTGAATGTCTTTGTGTTTGGTTTGAGGTTAGCACATTTTGCACCTGGGCATACGCAGAGATGTTTGCGGCAGCTGCTTGGTCGATTTGCTCAAGACAGGAGTTGGGATTGAAATGTAGATGTTCAATCAGTCAAACTTAATGTCAGCCAGCTCTGGATTTCGCTACCTATATCTGGAGGAGACCTGCGCAGGTTTTTTCGCTTACCTGCAGGTGCATCAAACGACTTGGTTTTGCGCAGGGTGACAACATTAGCGCGAGAGTGGGCAAAGCAGCGTCGACTTGAATTGAGCGTCAAACCACTTACCAAGAGCGCTTTGGGATATACTTCAACCCAATACGCTTCATTGGAGTCCACCATCAAGGCTGCAAGAAGTCTATTTGAATACGTGTGCCACATTTGCTTGGCTGCTGTGGCTTGGTTTGGTCAAGGAGCAAATATTTGATGTTTGTTTCTCCACAAGGGAACCCTTGGTCATTTCATTGCCATATGGTCAAGCCTCTCTCCAATCAGCGGCTTGCTCAGGCAGATTCAATGCCACAAGAACGGTGTTTTTCGATGTCGATGTGCCTCTCGGCACTCCCGGCTCAGTGAGCTTGAAGCAAAAGAAAGTGTTGCAATGGGGCGCTTGCGCTTGAGGTGCTATGCAACCCTTTCTAGCGCTGCACTGCGCGATGGCGTTTTGCTGTACAAATTATGTCCCGAACGTAATTATTTCGAACGTGATTTGGATGAAGGTTCACTGACTGCCCATAACCCTTTACAACAAAGTGGATGAAGACGCAATGAAACACTTACGCGGTGTAGCTATGTCATGTCACCCCAGCACTGTGAGGGTGAGATGCGGGAGGAGGTACCTGCTTAAGCAGATCCTCTTGCACAGACGGCTGAAACTAGCTGTCAACAGGACTGAGCACTGAAAATGAATTTTTGCAAAGAGGGAAAATGTTGTTTCAAGGGCTTAGAAACCGATTCTCCACGTGAAATTGTCACATTTCCAGCGAGCAGACGTTGCAACGGTTCTAAGTTGGACAATTTCCAGTTTCACTTGTAACGATTGCATGACGGTTTGTTCACCGTGGCTGTTTTATGTTATGTGTAGGCTCTTTCGCACGGCTTTCACACATCATACATGTCAATACATTTGGCTCATGGTACATGCGTATGACGCATGTTTTCTTGATGCGCGCCAAGACATGTGGATCTAGGCGCATGCGTGTGATGCATGTTCTCTTGAGATTCACGCCAATACATTTGGCTCAAGGTGCACGTGTGTGATGCATGGCTTCTTGGGCCTCAAAACTCCAACTGCTCCACGCGCCTTTAAAAAAGCAGGATGGTAGCTGAGCAGGACCAATCTACAGGCAAAATACACCCCTGTGAGGGCAGGATGTTTTTTTAAGGACAGAATGTATCTTTTTAAGAAAAAAGGATGTTGCCTCTCGGGGTTGTATTTAATACATTTCAGGCCACCGTTGGCATCTCCAGGTTCTATACTGATCCCGTTCGAGTTTGAGTTCGAATTCGAGTTCGAGTTCGGGCCGACAGAGCCGGCGTGGTGGACCAGTTCGAGTTCGAGTTCGGATCGGCGACTTATATAAGGGACTTTTATTAGGGCCTTATTAGGGGCGGGTGGACCAGTTCGTGTTCGAGTTCGGATCGACTATAACGTGACGAGAATTAATGACGACAACCGCAGCCGCAATCGCCACGACGCACAACAAAGAAGAACAGGAATCAACCAAGCTAGCGACAAAGCAATCAACCTGTTGAAAGTATCCGCGCTGCGCAGCCAGCATTTGTTTTATTAGGGTCCGGTGCGCCGCTGGGGGGGGGCGCAGCGCCCCCCAACCCCCCCCGCGCCACGAAATCTGCACTTCATCTCCAAAACCCGCGCCTGCCACGAAATCAACGTTTTAGTGTGAACTCCCTGCGGCAAAAAAACTGCTAACCAACCAACCAACAGCCACCTGCCAGCGGCGTCAGCAGCAACCAACCAACTGACCACGACGTAGCATCCCTTTTGTGAACCATCCGAGGGTAAAATTTTGAATAGGAAGAAACCACTGCAACGCCACACGAAGATACAGTTTAGAGTAGGAAGAAGCTAGCAATCCCTTCGTGGGCAACTCGAAGGTGAAAATAGAATGGGAAGGAGCCATTGCAACGTAGCATGCCTTTTGTGGGCCGCCCGAGATTAAAATTTAGAACCGGAGCCATTACAACGAAGCATATTTCTTTTTGTGAGCCATTCGAGGGCAAAATTTAGAATAGGAAGGAGCCATTCCAACGTAGCGTGGCTTTTGTGGGCCCCGATGGTAAAATTTGGAGTAGGAAGGAGCCATTAACGTAGCATTCCCGCCGTGGGGGTGGACCAGTTCGAGTTCGAGTTCGGATTGGCGATAAAAGGACTTATATAAGGGGCCCACAACAGGAATGCTACGTTGTAATGGCTCCTTCCTGCTTTAAATTTTACCCTCGAACTTGAATTCGAACTCGACCGGGACAGTTAGAACCACCTGGGGCA